GAAGGGCCCTACCCCAGCCCAATTCTCTCTCACCCCAAACCAGAAAGGCAGGAGGATTGCACAACGTGACTCCACTCCGAAGGGTTGTTCATGCGCTGAGATTAGAGGAAGTGTGAGTGCAATCCCTGCGCCTCGTGATTGGCTGTGCTGAGAGGAGAAGTCCGCACACTTCCCCACGAGTGAGGAGTGGCTGCCGTGGGCCAGTTCCCCACGGTTGAGCCCCAAGCTCCTATCAAGGAAACAAGGTCAAAAAAGTATCCCCAAGCCTCTGACTGTATCTCCTTCCCTTCCATGTGCCCTTTCATCTTTAAAAAGACATACCAGGATCTTTGGGTAAGCAGAATTCTTATAAACACACCCCCCAAATACAAGTTAACTCCAATTTCCTAAAAATATGGGGAAATAAGATTTCCCTGAACATACAGACCCAGAACAGAAAGAAACGGTAGAGTATTTTTTGGAAATCATAGATTATTTTGCCTTTATAGTCTAGTTAGATATGGTATTTGGTGTCTCTTTTGCCAAAAGAAATACATTCTATCCCTTCTGAAATGCAACTACCTGACCCTTTCCACAATATTTCTAAAAACCTTCTTTGGTTATTCTATAACCGGAGAATAAAAATCCAAGGGACCTTGTCTTTACCCTACACTCTCCCATCCTAGCCCCTTAAAATTTATTTTTTAAAACAAGAGAGCGATCCAGATGTTAGCCTTCCCAGAGATCTTGCTTCTCCCAACCCACCCTCACAAATATCTGAAATCTGTAGATGAAAAAAAAAAAAAAAAAAAGGATTATATGAAAAGCAACCTCACAGGATAATCTAATCATAAATTCCTAACTAGGCAAGTCATGTTAGGTAGTCACACCCCTATATATAGGTATATAACTTCTTTCTAAAGGCTTATCTTTGGCTCAAGTCCTGTACATTGCTTCTATACATACAGGTTACACACCTTTGAAATGCCCCTCCTTCTAGTATATGCCCACCCTTTTAGGACCTCCTTCTAAGACATGATCACCCTCAAGAATGCACATAACGCTAGAACCAGTTTGGCTCAGTGGACAGAGCGTCGGCCTGCAGACTGAAAGGTCCAGGGTTCGATTCCGGTCTAGGACATGTACCTTGGTTGTGGGCACATCCACAGTAGGGGGTGTGCAAGAGGCAGCTGATGGATGATTCTCTCTCATTGATGTTTCTAACTCTCTATCCCTCTCCCTTCCTCTCTGTAAAAAATAAATAAAATAGATTTAAAAAGAAAAGAAGAATGCACATAACCTTAACCTATAATCTAATCCCCACCTTACTTTTTTCCACCTTCATGTAATCTTCTTTACATTTCTTCCTTGATTTCAAATGCATTAAAGAAACTATAATACTGTTATTCTCAGGACCATATGAGAACTTGCTTCCCTAGCATATGTTGCCAGTTTGGCCCAAGTAAACTCATAAAAATTCTCTATAGGACTGCCTGGCCAGCATGGCTCAGTGGTTGAGCTTCAACCTATGTATGAACCAGGAGGTCATGGTTCGATTCCCGATCAGGGTACATGCCCGGGTTGAGGGCTCAATCCCGTGTGGGACATGCAGGAGGTTCCCTGTCAATGATTCTCATCATTGATGTTTCTATCTCTCTATCCTTCTCCCTTCTTCTCTGAAATTATAAATATAATTTTATTTTTTAAAATTCTCTACAAGTTTGGACATTTTTATGTCCACAAATCTGACCAGAGGAGACTGTCCTTCTCTCCCAGGTGCCCCCTAAATACTCCTATAATAGCTGTCATTTATGAGCACTCATCAGGGCCGGACTCACTGCTAAGCACCTACATGCCTGATCTCATTTAATCCTCCCTGCAGTCCCTTAAGGCAGGCACTAAGTCCCATGCCAGGGTGGCAAACCAGTGAGGGAGGCTAGCCAATAGAGCCCAAGACCTTAACTGGCACTGCCATACCTCCCCAAGCCACCCCCCACCTGCCCAGCCTCTAGGCCTTCCTCAGACAAGAGGCATTATCAGATGTCTGCCTAAATGAATTATCCAGAGGAGGCCGTGATTAAATTAAAAAGAAATCCTCTGCTCTCCCACAGCCCTCCCTAGACCTTCCACCAAAGCCCATTCCTGCGGCTCCTCCCCTTTCTCTCTCTTTGCAGGGGATTACCCATCCTCTTGGCAGCACTGCCCTCGCCAGGGTGCCCACTGCTAAAGCAAACAAGACCCATGGAAATACATCATCATGCCTGCCCTTTTAAGACCAAATCCACGGGCACCAAGGAGTGGGCATGAGTCCTAATGGGATGTTAAAAAAAAAAAAAAAAAGGCAATGAAGGTGGGATAAAGGAAGGAGAGAGCGTGAGGGAAAGTGGGGAGAGAAGCCTGTCGGAGTTAGTTCCTGGCTAGTGGTATCCGAAAGGTAAAAGGCTCCTCTTAGAATCTTGGGACACTCCAGCCAACAGCATATCCCAGCGGACTCACCAGGAATGCAACAAGCAGACCCTCATCCTCTCCTACGCTTCATTGGCCCACACCAACTGGGCAAAGGTTAGGGGCTACCCTTCACGGAAAAGATGCCCCCTCTTTCCTCAACCACCGCCCAGCACCGGCTCGAATCCCTCCCTGAGACCCTAGTTCCCAGGGCACTGCTTCCACCAGTCAGGCAGCCTGGGACCGGCAGGACCTCTCCTAAAGGGCTCTTGACTGGAGAACTCTGCAGAGCTTGGAGCCCCGTGCGATAAAGGCGTTCCAATAAGCAGCACCCCTTGCCTTCTTCCCCTGACTGATGTGCATTCGGGATCCAGTGGAGACTACAGGACAGCACGCATCCCACAGCCTGTGGGAGAAGTTGCAGTTCAGAGGTTCAGGAAACACAGGTAGCAGGGCCCCCGGCATGCAGTGCCTGGCACAGCAGCCAGTGGAACCCCTTGCCCTGTCCCTACCCATGCATGGCAACACCAAAACACCCTTCCTCCGGGAACCGGCCCACAGCTCAGGGTCGTGGCTCCTCGGTCGAGCGCAGGGAGCTGACTGTGAGCAGATCCTTTCTCCCCCAGGGACCCCATGTCCTGCCTTCCCAGCTCCAACTGGTCTGTGCTGCCTCCCTAACAACAGAAACAGAAAACAGATACACTCTGGTACAGCTAGATTGCCCCATCACCCCGGGCTGGAAGCTCAGCTCCTCCCTCCCCAGTTCTCCGTTTGTTTTTCTATGCTCCACTGTAGCTAGACAGCCCCTTTTTTAAAAAAAAAGTGAAACAAGAAATTGTTTACTCCTGTGGCCAGGCCTTTCACTAACGTAGGGCTGCAGTCTCTGGGCAGAGGGAGGTCAGAGCTGGGACCAGGAAGCAGGAGGCTCTTGAGTCTCCTCCATCAGTCCATTTTCAGGACTCACTCCATCCTCCTCCTGCACTTCCCCTCTCACCCACTGTCCCCGACTCCCACCTCTTACCTGTCCCTTGCCCTTGGGGCAGGTGCGAGGAGGAGGGGCTACCAGCACGCTGGGACTAGGGGGAGGGAAAGGTGCTAAGAGGGGCACCGAGGTGTGGCTGGAGCTGCCGCAGCTGTTGACTCTGGGGAGAAAAGGCAGAGGGTGCCGATCAAATGAAAAACAGGAAAACATATGTGTGACTCTGGCCAGCAGCGGCGGCGGCGGCGGGGAGGGGCCTGGAGGACGGAGGACGGGCTGGAGCTGGGACCCATAAGACCTCAAAGCCTGCCCGCCCCCCTCTAGGCTCCTCCTCTTCCCTACCTCAGCCCCCCGAACTTCCTCGTTGCCCTTCATTTATTCCCAGGGACTTACAGTGCCCTTCCCGTGGGGCCTTTACAACTCTCCCCCATAACTCCATTTCCTCGGCATCTCCCCCTGGAATACTGACATTGGTCCTGCAGAGGGCATGGGATCCATGGCGAGGGCAATAATGGACCTCTGTGGCCTCATCTCTCTCAGTGCCATGTCAGCCCCTATGTAAAGCAATACATGCCGAGGAATGTCACGTGTGGGGGTACAGGTGAGCACATACCTAAACACTAAGCAATCCCACTCACAGCTCAGGTCCCCAGTTGGATCAGGTGATGTGTGTTTCAAAGGAAGGCCACCTAAGGGCTAATGAGTTGGCGCCCCTCCAAACCAGGATTTTTTAAATATTTGTTGCATGTTTATTTAACAAAAGTAGGGAGATACGATTTTCTGGGAATAAAAACTGTGAGCCTCATTCTTTCTATTCAAAATTAGAACTTACTACATGAATTCATTACATACACTTTCTGAAGCAGACAACTTCGTGGTAGCTATATTAAACTATTTAAAATGTAGATTCAGCTGAAACCGGTTTGGCTCAATGGATAGAGCGTCGGCCTGTGGACTGAAAGGTTCCGGGTTCGATTCCGGTCAAGGGCATGTAACTTGGTTGCGGGCACTTCCCCAATAGGGGGTGTGCAAGAGGCAACTGATCAGTGATTCTCTCTCATCGATGTTTCTGACTCTCTGTCCCTCTCTCTTCCTCTCTGTAAAAAATCAATAAAATATATATTTTTAAAGGTAGATACAGTCCTGGCCAATGTGGCTCTGTTGAGTATCATCCCATGTACCCAAGTTTGCCAGTTCAATTCCTGGTCAGAGCAGATGCCCAGATTTCAGGCTTGATTCCTAAGGGTGAGGATAACAGGGGGAGGGGGGAGAGAGTCATGTAGTGCATTCTCACATTGATGTCTCTCTCCCTTCCTCTTTCTCTAAAAATCAATTTAAAGTTTTGGTTTTTTTTTAATATAGATACAGCTGAAACCAGTTTGGCTCAGTGGATAGAGCGTCGGTCTGTGGACTGAAAGGTCTCAGATTCAATTCCGGTCAAGGGCATGTACATTGGTTGTGGGCACATCCCTGGTGGGGGATGTGCAGGAGGCAGCTGGTCAATGTTTCTCTCATCATCGATGTTTCTAGCTCTCTCTCCCTTCCTCTCTATAAAAAATCAATAAAATATATATTTAAAATAATAATAATAAATAAATAAATGTAGATACAGCATAAATCTCTCTCAGGGAGTGGCACTTCACAGGGTATGGTGCATTCTCAGAATTCCAGCTGTGACTGCTGCCTTTAGGCAACTGAAAGCTGGTCACAGGACCACATCGTGCAGCTTATGCCTGTACCTGCATGTTGCAAAATTATTGTGGAGACAGGCTGTCCAGGTAAGCAGTTGTTAAGGATCTCTCAGTGGATGGGAGCCAACTTACAGTTCACCCAGAGACAGACAGAAATCTGAGTTCACGGGCACCAGATGTCTGAATTACCCCCAGAATCCTTTAGTGCCCTTTTCGACCCAGGCTGCTGCCCGGCTGGCCTGCCCCTTTATCCTACTCTGGGGTCGGTCCAACGTGTAAATGAGAGAAGTCCTGGAAAGTCTGCAGCTGCCCCTCGGCTCTGGCCCCTGCTCCCTCACTCCACTCCGGCCACAATGGCCCTGCTGCCACCGCACAAGCATGCTCCTGACTAAGAGCTTTTGCAATTGGTCTTTCCTCTGCCTGAATGGAACCTTCTTCCCAGAGATAGTGTTCATTCCTTCACTCCATCCAGGTCTGTGTTTGAGTCCTTCCTGAGGAGTCTCTGAAAAAGCTCCATGCTTGACTTTTCTTCAAGGGCACTCACTACCACTCCTGAGTTGAGGGTTCCGTGGAGTTGGGGGTTCAATGGAGTTCATTGGTTGTCGACTCCCTCACTAGAATGCACGCACCACGAGAGCTTCATGCCCAGTACAGGGCACATGTAGACCAAGACATGTTTGCTGGAAGAATAAATGAAGGAATGAACAATATTGTCCTCCCTCACAAACAATCACACACACACACACACACACACACACTGATTTCCTAGCAGCCCGGCTCTGGGAATGCCCTTGACCTTGCCCTCTGGCCCACCTGAAGAAGCTGCTCTGGTTTCTAAGCAAGGAGTGTTTAGAAGCCTTGGTTCTTCTTCAGAGTAATGGGCTGAAAGGAAGGGGAAAGTATAATGTTCAGTTTACCGGGAGTGGGGGGGGGGGGGGGGTGCCTAGCATGATCTGAAATGAGCTTATGTTCCATTAGTAGGAAAACCAAAGGGCCCCCTCTCCTGTGCTCTCGCACATCCGGAAAGCTCTCAGGGCTCGGTCTCACACCCAGCCTGGGGGGGGGGGGGGGGGGGGAGGCCTCTGGGTGCCAGGGGAGCGAAATGTGGGCCGAGCCGCGGTGAGAGGGCAGAGAAGGCAGAGCGAGGGGGCGCGGGCCCAGCAAATGCAGCAGGTGGTGCGGGAAGAGCGGAGCGCCCCCTTAGCATGAGCTCTCCGCAGACCCGCCCCGGCTCCCGCCCTCAGCTCCCTCCGCCCTCCCGCCCCCGCCCCCGCCCCCACCCCACCCCCGCCCCGCCGGCGGCTGCGGCCACCTTTGCCCCCTCCCCGCTCCCCCGCACCAGCCCCCCCTTCCCGCCCGGCCCCTTCGGTCAGCCCGCCGCCTCTCTGGTGCCGCGCCCGCGGCCCTGGGATCGCCCTCCCCTCGCCCGAACCTGCCCGCCGCCCCGTGCCCATCGGGAGGTCGGTCTTCCAGGGGGCACCGGTCTGGCTGCGGGGCCGAACCCGGTTCTGCCTTGGGGCGCCTGGACCCCACTCCCCCGGCTTCCCTCCCGCCCCCTCCCGGGCCCCAGGAAGCGCTGCAAGAGGGGGTTGTGGCGGGTAACCGCTCAGGGCGCAAAGGGCGAGAGCCGGGGACCCCGTCACCCGCCCCCTGCCTCCTCCGGGCCCCCCGGAAAGGAGAGTGACCGCGGGCACCCCGGGCGCGTCCTCCGCCCCCCCGAGCGCCCAGCTTCCTCTTCCCTCCCGGCCCGTCCGACGGGGGTCTGCGCCGGAGCCCCAAACCCTGCAACCCCGACTCCGGCCCCGAGACGAGCGGCTGCAACTGCGAGGGACTCTGGACTGCAAAGCCCCATCGGAGCCCGGAGGGCTCCCGGAAGGGCGTCTCCGGCCCCATCCCCGCTCCCCGCCCCCTCGGGGGAGCTGTTGCGTCAGTTTCGAGATCCCAAATGAGGAAAAGTGGTCTCCACCGGGCCGGAGAGGTGTCGGGCAGCGGAGCCGCCGCCAGGAGGCAGCACTTAACAAAAAATGTTGGGGTTGAGGGCGCCGGGGAGGCCGGAGTCACCAAAGCACCTTTCAATCTGAAGAACTTTAGAAGCAGCGTGGTCCCCACAATAGAGGGATTTGCTGGGCTAGTTCAAAAAAGGCACGTGGGAATGCTTCCACGTGTTTTAAGGCTAAAGGATGACTTATAAATAATAGTTACCTTTTTTGTCTATACCTTTTGGACAGTCTCGCTTTGCAGTTTCAAAGCCAACATTGCTCCTCTGCAGAGATTTGCAGAGCCACCCTCCTTCAAGACCAGTCTGAGGAAAAGGCACACTGCCGAAGAGACTTCAAAGCTTTCGGGCATGAAAAAGTAGTGTAGCCCTAGCTGGTTTGGCTCCGTGAATGGAGCGCTGGCCTGGGAACTGAAGGGTCCTGGGTTCGATTCCTGTCAAGGGCATGTACCTTTGTTGCAGGCACATTCCCAATGGGGGGTGTGCAGGAGGCAGCTGATCAATGTTTCTCTCTTATCGATGTTTCTAATTCTCTATCCCTCTCCCTTCCTCTCTGTAAAAACTCAATAAAATATATTAGAAAGAAAAAACAAGGCAGTGTAGCCCTAGTTGGTTTACCTAATTGGATAGAGCACATGTGTCAAACACAAGGCCCTCGGGCCAAATCCGTCCCGCCAGGCCTTGCAATGTGGCCCGCACCGCGCTGTCATCACTGCACTCCGCTGCGTTTCCATCACAATGACAGTTTATGACTGTTCCGTAAACCATTCGGCCCGCGATTTAGGCTGGATTTTAGATTTTGGCCCCTTCTCTGATTGAGTTCGACACCCCTAGGATAGAGCATCGGCTTGCGGACTGGAGGGTCCTGGGTTCCATTCTGGTCAAGGACACATACTGGGATTATGGGCTCAGTCCCCAGTAGGGGACCTGTAGGAGGCAGCCAATCAATGATTCTCTCTCATCATTGATGTTTCTATCCCTCTCTGAAATCAATGAAAATATATATTTTTTTAAGTAGTGTAGTCCGAGGTCATACTAATTTAGCAGGGATTTGACAGCCATGGGAAAAGAAAAGGAATATGTTGCAATAAATTATGTAATAAAATAATATGCACAGCAATGTATTGTGTGAGTCGCTGGTTTCTAGTCATCAATTCCGACACTTTGTTTATTAATCCTTATCCAAGGATATTTTTTCCATTGTTTTTTAGAGAGAGTGGAAGGGAGGGAAGGAGACACACACACACACACACCCGTTGCCCCAGCCAGGGCAGGGATCAAGCCTACACAACCCAGGTACATGCCCTTGACCGGAAGTCAAACCCAAGACCCTTCAGTGCTTGAGGCAACTTTTTAACCACTGAGAACACTGGTGAGGGAAATTTCCACACTTCTTGCTGAGTGTGACAGTGATTTGGTCTTGAGCTGTCCTAAGAAGGAAGATACAAAAGAAATGTGAAGTGAAATAAGACATTTCCCCAAACTTAGAATTTGGTCACAAGCATGCAAAATTAGGTGGAATTGGCAACCCCCTCCCCCGCCCCCTCAGCTTTACTTATGCTCTTTCTCCAACATCATCATTATTCATCACAATGGTTAAAAAAGCACCTAATTTGCCTAGCCGATGTTTACTGTCAGTACTAGTTTGTTCTCTCCCTCCCTCTCTCTCTCTCTCTCTCTCTCTCTCAAAATCCTCGTATTTCCTGCTATTTACAACCCATGGGTTGTCACCCTGCCACATCAAAATAACCACGTCAAAGGCTGAAATTGTCTTCCTTCCCAAGACCTTTGCCCTTCCATATTTCCCAGGTTTCCTAGTCAAACTTCCTATCCTGCCCCCAAGTTTCTCCAGCTCTACCTCCTTTATTCCCACAGCTATTCAAGTATTACATGTGTTCACTTCTGCATGTGGAATTCACAGTGTCTACACACCCTAGTTGTGCACTTTATTTTTTAAATATATTTTATTGATTTTTTACAGAGAGGAAGTTAGAGGGATAGAAAGTTAGAAACATTGATCAGCTGCCTCTTGAACACCCCCTACTGGGTATGTGCCCACAACCAAGGTACATACCCTTGATCGAAATCAAACCCTGGACCCTTCAGTCTGCAGGCCAATGCTCTATCCACTGAGCCAATCCGGTTTTGGCTATTTGTGCACTTTAATGCATATACCCTATTTTTTTATTTTACAAATCAGTGGTGTCCCCTGCTGTGTGAGCTTCTAGAATAGAGAAATGTTGCTGGTTTGGTTCTACAAACATTATAAAGATACTAGAGGCCCGATGCATGAAATTTGTGTGTATGTTGGGGGGTGTCCCTCAGCCTAGCCTGCAACCTCTCCAATCTGGGACCCCTGATTGGAGGGATGTCCGACTGGCTGTTTATTTTTATTTTTTTAAAAAAATATATTTTATTGATTTTGTAGAGAGGAAAGGAGAGAGATAGAGATTAGAAACATCGATGAGAGAGAGTCATCGATCAGCTGCCTCTTGCACAACCCCTACTGGGATATGCCTGCAACCAAGGTACATGCCCTTGACCGGAATCGAACCTGGGACCTTTCAGTCCCCAAGCTGACGCTCTATCCATTGAGCCAAATCGGTTTCGGCCCGACTGCCTGTTTAAACGGGACTGCTAGCTCCTAACTGCTCGCCTGCCTGCCTTCCTGATTGCCCCCAACCGCTTCTGCCTCCCAGCCTGATAACCCCCTAACCACTCCCCTGCAAGCCTGATTGCCCCTAACTGCCCTCCCCTGCAGGCCTGGTCACCCCTAACTGCCCTCCCCCTGCAGGCCTGAGTTCCTCTCCCCCCCAACTGCTCTTCCCTGAAGGCTGGTTGCCCCCAATTTCCCTCCTCTGCCAGCCTGGTCACCCCTAACTGCCCTCCCCTGCAGGCTTGATCTCCCCCAACTTTCCTCCCTTGCAGGCCTGGTCCCTCCCAACTGCTCTCCACTGCTGGCCTGATTGCCCACAACTGCCCTCCCTTGCAGATCTGGTCCCTCCCAACTGCCCTTCCCTGCTGGCCATCTTGTGGAGGCCATCTTATGTCTATATGGGAGCAGGATCTTTGACCATATAGGGGCAGCCATCTTGTGTGTTGGAGTGATGGTCAATTTGCATATTACTCTTCTATTGGATAGGATAGCGACCTGGTGCATGGGTGGGGGCCAGCTGGTTTGCCCTGAAGGGTGTCCCAGATCAGGGTGGGGATTCCCTTGGGGCATGGGGGTGGCCTGGGTGAGGAACCTGTGGTGGTTGCAGGATGGCCACGCCCCCTGGCAACCAAAGCAGAGGCCCTGGTATCTGGGATTTATTTATCTTCTATAATTTAAACTTTTTTTTTTTTTTTTTTTTTTTTTTTAATATATTTTATTGATTTTTTACAGAGAGGAAGAGAGAGAGATAGAGAGTTAGAAACGTCGATGAGAGAGAAACATCGACCAGCTGCCTCTTGCACACCCCCTACTGGGGATATGCCCGCAACCAATGTACATGCCCTTGACCGGAATCGAACCCGGGACCTTTCAGTCCGCAGACCGACGCTCTACCACTGAGCCAAACCGGCTTCGGCTATAATTTAAACTTTGTAGTCTTAAGTGGAGGCCAAGGCAGGCCAGGGCAGGCAGAAAGCTTAGCTTCCTCCATTGCCAGGGAAACCCAAGCCTCCTGCTCTCTCTGTTGGCACAGCCATCTTGGTTGGGTTAATTTGTATACTCACTCCTGATTGGCTGGAATGTGTGGCGTGTGGGTTTGGCAGAGGTATGGTCAACATTCATATTACTCTTTTATTAGACAGGATAGCATTGGTGGTAGTGCCAGCCTGTCACCTTTCTTGCCAATCATGAATGTTGACACTGAGGTTATTTTTCCAATGCTTGGCTTCTACTACTTGATTCCCCAACTATAAACTATGTAATGGG